TATGCACACAAGTCAGAACAGAATAATCCCAAGTCATTTTCAATCACTGATTACCAGGTGAACTCAGATGGGACATTGAGCAGTAGTGATAACATTCACTTGAGTTATTCTGATTGCGTCATTAACCACTTCTGAAGTTATTCTGGTTTGAGGTTTGATCGCAGTATTATTTGCCCACAAGTTTAGTACGCATCTTCTTGATCCTCGTTGACTTTACAAGCCTAAACACAAATCTCCATTCTACATACTCCCAATACTTCTAAATTGCCTTGCCTAAGTCACGTGACTAAGAGCACATAATTGCGGTTCGAGGAAGCAGAGAACGATCAGAGTGATATGAACACACGCACACCTACACATTCTTTAACATTCACTGTCAATCTCCATCATAGCCTCTATAGATTTAACCTTCTCTGATACACCTTGAATTGTGTATGACAAAATGGAAAAACCAGCATTAATATTTAGGATATTGGCAAACTGAAACCAAATCCGTCTGTCGGGTCTATTTAAGATACCCAGACCGAATAATGTTCGTCTATTGTGGTTCATTTATTTGCCGTGAAACGCATCTTTCACAAGCCTATTCGGTTTTTACCATCCCTCCCGTGACGGAAAATGCAAATCTTGTGGAGTTCTGTACATTGTAGCTGGCGTGACTGTTCGTCGCATGCATTCTTGATCGATCAAGAAGCAAATCATTCCCACATATTCCTTCTCTTTTTCCACAAAGGCATTTCTAACTTCGTTAGAAGAAAATTTTCTACACCAAAACTAGTGTTCAGTCTTCTGTAAGCTATGTATGTAGTTTTCTTCTTTATTAAACGAACTGCCAGTTATGCATGATTTGAGTTTTGGACAGGAACGCAATTCTTCACATATTTTACTGTCCATGTCTTTTACTCTATGCGTTACGTCAGAACTTTGTATGATCCTCATTGATGATAGTAGCTGAAAACTTCCGGTGCTACTGGTCACCTGTGGCCCTGCTACATTATTTTCTGAATCTGAATCCGATTTTGTGTTTGTTTTTGACCCCGTATAGCATTTGACAACTTGAAAACAAGCAAAACCGAATATCAAATAGGGAAATTAACTATTTGTGAAAGGTTCGTTGTAATGGATTGCTTTCGACACAAGATTCAAGTTCACTTTCCAATTAGGCCACTAACGTTGATCGAGCTAGTTCACTTCTGTAATTCTGGGTGTCAATGGACACAAGATATAAAGATTCCGCATAAACTGTTCCAGTTTGTGCAGACAAACGGTTGTCTAAGTCTACAAACATAATTCCATCAACTGCACTTTTTGTATCATACAAAGGTTCATTGGGTCGTTTCTATGTTGGAAGTAAATTACACTGCTTCGTCCTATGGATATGGTTTAATCACCACTGTTCCTAATTTATTGTACTAATTCCTAAAATCAATGATATATGTTTCAGGAAACCTGTGCAACTGTGTATACTTTGGCCTTGATAATGAGAACTTTCGTTGTACCAGTTGTACATCACCTGTTAACGCGGTAACAGGCAAAATGCGTTAATTTGCGGCAGTATTGTTTTGTCCTGGGGAGTCCAACTGCTTCACTGGGGCGTGTAAAATTCATCCTTCAGGTTAAGTTTCATCAATATTTGTCAAGGGTCTCAGTTTCGTCACTTAGTCACATTAGTAATCCTACTGCTCTTTATGGTTACCTGAGAACGCTGATTTAAATCCCCGGGCCGCAAAATACAGCGTATCAGTCAGCTACACTCAACTTTCTTTGTATGGCTACATCGGGCAAAATCGTATCCAGTAACTACTTGGTCACCAAGAAAACGTGTTATGCTAAGAACAATTTGATTTGGTTGTTTCGTTGTTTCATTTTATATTCAGGAGACAAAAAAACAATTAGAGCATGTAGGCATCTTCCGATTTTGATCCACTGATGAAACTATTTTAGGTTTCTGACCCGTCTGCTGTTCAAAACCCCTTTAGGTGCTTGTTCGGCAGCCATCTGAGCACAGTTTCTCGATCCTTATATGGAAACTTGTTCCAATTGCTGATGCTTTTCGTGATAGACGCCGCCAGTTAAATGCTGCACAAATTCTATCTTACGGTCATGTGGTCATATCTACTCGCAGGGCTTCCTTAAAAGGTAAACATAAACTTATGCACACATAGTGGTCTTTTGCTTGGCCGCCTTCTCCTTCTTGAATATTGTATATTTGTATATTCAAAAGGAAAGTAAAATAAAATAAAATAAAAAAGAATGAAAATAAAAAAATAAATCAACCTGAACGATTCTGCTGAGCAGTCTGCGATAATTTTGGAATACATTACTAGGAGAGTACTGGAGCTAGACATATTACAAATCTCCACGTCTGTAAACCAGTCAAATGCGGTTCTATCGCATTCTCTTCAACTTGTGTAATTTACACTTCGTACTTACGTGTTCCACATATCCATGGGTTTACAGGCGACTTCCGGTCTGTAGCCTACCCGGCCATGGCACCAGGGTCCCCTTGCTGAGGTTCTCTGGCCTCCGCCGATCCAATCCCCTTAGATAATTTCATGGCGTTTGCGTAAATCAATCACGGACACTTCAGTCTTTATGTTAGGTCTTTGATAAATACGAGGAACAGCTGTGGTTTGTGCGTGGAATCCCGCTGGTTGCTCAGGGTTTGCCTGCGTAACTATCTTGTACCAGCACATTAGATTGCTTGGCTCCCAGAAACATAGAAACTCATCGCTGCAACCTATGTATGCTACCATGGTAGCAGTTTATTAATTAACCACCAATGAGGGACCTTATGGAGGATATTATTGAAATTGGTGAAAATAACATCTGCCATTGTTCGTTCGCTACCAACCGGCTTTATGTTATCTTATCTTTAATTGAAAAATAGCCTGCTTCAGAATTCCAGTCGATATTTAGATGAAAATCTTTTGCGCTCATTGGTAATGGAAATAATGGGATAAAATAACTTTTTTCACTGTGTTATCTCCACAAACAGCACTCACCAGTCTGCAATATACCGTTTGGTGCCTGAATCTTTCCTTGTCTTTGGGACAGATCTCTAGGTTCAATTCCATGGAGATTGTCTAGTTTGGATTAAGTTTTAAACAGGCCTGTTAGCAATCTTGGAGCCATATTTTCTGCCACGTTTATTAGTGAAAGCTGTGGGGCTCAATGAATTGTAAAGATTCGGCAACCTAAGCTCTTTCAGAATGGCTTTCTTTATCATCTTTAGGGCAACATACAGTGTTTTATCTTTCTGTACATTTTATAGTTACCATTATTATAGGGGTTGTTTTAATGCGCAAAATGCTTATACAAATAATACAAAATTTACCCGTAGCTTGTGCTCTCAAAGTGTTATTGAAGCACAACGCATGCTAATCAGTTATTGTCAACTGCTCCTCTAACGGACGCAGCAGCCCCTTTCAGCTCATCTGTATATTGCCAAAGGAAATCAAAACTTGAAGAAAAATACCTCTCAAATAGTTGAACAGAGTCTATGTTAGTCCTTTTTTAGTGTCTTTTCATTTTTATTAGCATACGTGTATATAGCTTCATCGTTTCACATAATTTCTTTGCTCTCACTCGTGATCTCACAGAGCTCAACTGTTTTCTGTATTCTGATTAGATAGGTTGCGCAATTTGTGAAAATTATGCTACTTCAACCTGACAAGATACTATCTGATTGTCAGTTCGTAAAGTTTTTCACCTGAAGTCCAGTCGTGTGATGATGACACACCGCCATGCGCAATCAAAGTTCGCTGAGTACTCTAAAGGCTTACTTTAGTCAGCAAGGTATCACTTCTCGATCATTCTTACCAGGAAAACTTCATGACCCATCCGATTGCGCCAAACTTAGCGTTTCTTTTACACCTAATGAAGGACAAGGAAAACTTCCTATGGTTTTCTAAGGCCATTGAAAGATTTTTTCAGAAAATTATTTAATTTCTTTTCTATTCTATTTCTATTAATTTCTTTCAAAAGATCACTATTTGCATCTAACGCAAGATGATTACAAACCCCTACATTACTTAAAGGTTATTCTCGGCAGACAGAAACAACAACAACATGGAAGGTCCAATATGGAAAGTAAACTAGCATCCTCGGTACGGATAGGTCAGTTCTCACAAGAAGCTGCCAACCGCGCGATGTGCAACCTTCTTTATTGAGATTAGATTTTTTCTCAACACAACCTCCCGCTGCGATCAAGCTTCTGAGGTGTTGAAAGTTCTCGACCACTCCTAGCCTATCACTACGAAATGTAACCTTAGACACACGCTACTGCCAGTCTTGCACAAACACTTTGCAGTTGGGTGGTGTTGTTATTCCTTAAAGCATGAGTCACTTTTCCTATTAATCAAGTAAATTAATAAACGTGGATCATTATGTGTGATACATTTATTAATTAATTCTAATAAAAATAAACATAAATCCAATAAATCAGCTCGTTTTTGCTATGAGAACGCGGATCTTAGGTGAACAGATATTTACGGGAATTTCACTCCCGATGAGCTAAATTTTACGGAGTGTGTAGTTGAATCAAGATTACAGTTGCTGTGAAGAGACGAGCGCAGCTCATTAGTGTAAGAAAATGGACGGTATCTGGCTTAAGCCGCAAGTCCTGGGATCCGGTCTGATCTGACCATTGAACCTGACCATTAATTACCGTTTATAAACGGTTTGCCGATTTTTGTGCTTATAATAAGCGAATTGGATATGATAAGAAAGTACAGATCGCTACTTTTATAGAGGTGATTGCGAAAAATGTTTTCGGAAAGTCATCACACTTATTCTAAAAAGCCCCTTCTGGTGACTGTGATGGCTGAGAGATCCGTGAATAAACAATGACGCTATGGCCTAATGGGTGTCAGCGTATAAAAATATATATATTAGCCTTATTTATTAAGATCATATAATCAATAAAATCACCGTAAATTTGTAACAGAAATTCGCAGTGTGAAATTAAACGACTGTTTTTGAAATTCTATACAGCTTACTTGTATCACACTTCCGTAGTGAACAATAGATCCAAAGGTTTTAATATTTTCCAACTCATTCATTTGTTTTTCTGCATCGGCAGACATCTGGAGCTTTTATAAACAATAGAGCAAACCTACCCTCAGCTTTGCCAGAGTAACTGTTTCAAACATAGTAGATACAGTAGTTTTTCGCATCTTTTTATAATGCTTATATGAGTTGTAACGATTCGTTGAGCAAACAAGAAATCGAGCATCTCCCTTAATAATGTTTGAATTCAAATGCTCACCTCGCATTTTACATGCATTCCTGCTTGCTAAACCATCTGCTATCTTGTTCTCGATAGAGATATTTAGATGTTTGTCGATGTGCCTTCAAATGAGATATTTATATATAAGGATAGAATTCAGCCTACCCTTGTGAAAAAAGAAAGCCGTTATTTATGGCATCCAAAGAAAGGCTAATTAGATCTCCAAAATGAAGTGGGAGCATGATCAGAGTTGATATTCAACGGCGTTTAACATGTAACTTGTTATCGCCGTTGATTAAATACGTGCATCCAATGACCTTGAAAAGGTCAGGTTCAGTTCAGTTTGCACAGGACGATGTGTGGCCCGGGCCAATCTTGCGTCCAGATTG